GCCAGCATTGATTACCCTGGATGCCAGGGCCTCCTAGTGTCTGTATCTTTCCGTTTTCCTCTTTTTTTTTTTCTTTTTTTTTTTTCCGAACATGCGGCCTGGACATGTCGTCGCCAGAGCTGATAAGAGCAGCCTCTCTTCCCCCACCCAGCACCGGCTGGAAAGCGGGTCCAGCGTCCCTTGAGTAGACAATGCCAGTTCCCAGTGCTTGCATAGATGAAAATCTGTCGATATTGTCTCTTCCCGTTTTCCATTTGTTTGTTTCTATAAAAGGGCGACGGCCTTTTTATCTTTTTTTTTTTTTTTTTTTTTTGTAAGGTTATTAGATATTATCGAACTGACCAGCCCCAGACAATTCAAAATGATTTTATCGTATTCGCGCTATTTGTAGGATTCTACTATTGGATACGCAAAATCTCTGGACTTCAATCAATATCCAGAAACCTTTGGTCAAATTCGTTTTTGGATTTCTTTCTTTCGTGTGAGTTTGACTTTCTTTCCTATGCATTTCTTAGGTCAAATTCAGAATTATTTTATTCTTTTCTTTATTTTCTTCGTCTGATAGTTTCAGGATTCGGGGTCGGATCTGTATTTCAATAGTTGAGGCGTGTCCCAACTGAGGTTAGGCCCGTTGGCCGTTCTTCATTTTGTGCTTTTTCACCTTTTGCGTAGAGCGGCTTAGTTCGTTGTCGAATTCCCTTTCGATCTTTTGTACAGTTTTTTTTTCAGCTCTCTTTTTTTTTCTTTTAATTTAAAGTTATGTCAGTTCTTTTCGTCAGCTGTATGTCAGTTTTTATTTCAAGACTGAAGTGAGTTTAAAAAAAAAAAAAGATTAAAAAAAAAAGACCGAAGTGAGTAGTACCTTTCTCGGACTTTTGGCTAAGATCAAGTGTCCTGTCCAGTGTCCAGATTTGACAGGTAATTGAATTAGTTCGGCTTAAAGAATTAGCCTTTTATATTAAAAAAAAAAACATCAAGTGCATTGTATCTGTTCTGATCAATTTAATATCTGATCCGTGGTCCATCGGACCACATAAAAAGAAAAAAAGAAAGTATAGAGAAGTCGACCCGAACAGACGGTTTTTCTTGCGTGTGCCACGTGTCGGGCTGGGGATCTTGCAACGCAGGCAGAGTTAAGATCGTTCATTTTTTGGCGTAGAATGCGTCTACCGTCTTCGTCCGAATAGATCGTACGGTCAATATAGCCGTATTTGACTCACTTTTCAGTCCAGATGCGATATACGTAAATGACCCTTACGTTCTGTTCGGGGGAAAGAAGGTAGTGTCTGTTACTTTCGGTTTAACTTCCATTTCTGCGTGTTCACGTTTTTCTTAGAGCGGCTTATTAGGTTCTTCCCTCAAAAAAAAACGTTCTTCGATCTTTTTTTTTTTTTTTTTTTTTTT